CTGCACTGCAGCCCTCAGGAGAGGGTGGGTGGAGAGTGTCTCTCAGGGGAAACAGGATAGGAAGATGTCCATCATTCTATCATCTCTCCTTCCCCTGTTGACTGACTATCCCCCCACACCACTTCTTTCTCAGGTTAGCAGAGAAATTAGGAGCTCAGAGTCTGCAGTCAGGCCAGGGTTCCAGGAGTATAGTCTTAAGTCTCAGTTTACTTATCAGTAAAATGGGAATGATGGAAGTGGGCTTTGGGCAGGGCCCAGGTTCTTGCAGCTCTATTTCCATGAAATCATTGCTGTCAGAGTCCTGACTTTGATGCACCCAGTGCTTACAGGGTGCCAGAAAGGGTAGGGCCTTGTGGCTTTCAGTGCTGGCTCCTGCAGGGTGGCCATAAACCGTGGCACAGGTTGTTCACAGCATAAGGGCACCCAGCCTCGTGAAATCCAGCTGCATTTTCTTCTGTGGGCCTAGTGCCTGGGTCCAGAGCCACATCTACCATTAGAAGGCCTGGCTTTTTCGACTTTCCAGAGGTACTTTCCTGCTAACCAAGAGCATGGTACACCATAGAAGCTGGGAGGTTTCTAGTTTGTACCGAGGGGACATATGGGTTGGTCATGGCCTGAGCTCCTGAGGTGACCTGAGCCATTCATTCCTGGGGACTGTACAAAGGCTGGACAGCCCACTGCTTCTGCCTTCTTCAGGCCCCTGCCAAGCTGCATGCTTCTCTTGCTTCCTCTGGCCTCTGGTGAAGAATGATAGCACTGACACCCTCATTTTGAGGTTCACTAACTCTTGGCTGGTGAAGGAAGGTGGGGAGGACCTGGTGCTGCAGCCAAGCAGAGTCAAAATAGCAGTTTGATGGTGTCTTGGCTTATTTTTCTCTCAGAATAAGCCTTTAGGCTTTGCATCATCTTATGTGAGTGTGGCAAGTTTTCTTCTGAAGATGGGGCCTCTTGGCTGCTTTGTTTCCTCGTGCATTTAGCTAACCTTCCAAGGATAATGAGCAGAGTGAGCTGAACACTGTTACCAGGTGCCTTTCAGTGCTTCAAGCCCCGACTCTGTGTGTGTGGGTTGCCTGGAGAGCAGTGTTGTCTGAGGAGGATCAATCCCTCTTAGCAGGGTGATGAATTGTTGGTCTGTGGCATTGCATCGTGGTGCAGTGATACTGTGTACCTTAAATCCATCAAAGCCCAGGATAGTGCTTAGGTAATCAAAACAACTCTGGGATGTGCACAGCGTGAAAGTGTCTGATTGTGGCCCCAAGAGTGGGAGCCATGGGCACAGAAAGGTTTCTGAAGGCTCTCGAATGCTCCCCTCCTACCTTGAGAGTCCCTGGCTTTCATTTTTTGTTGTGTCCCCAGCCCTTGCCATGGGCAGGAATATAACTGGTACTGAACACGTGTCTCTAACAACTGAAAAGTATCTCACAGTGCCATTCTCCTTGGTGCTGCGTGGACTTCCTGGAGGTGAAAAGGTGGAGGGACACACAGCTAAGACCCCTCAATGCTGATTCAGGGCCCACATACCCCTGTGATTCCTTGTACCTTTCAGGACTCTTCCAAAAAGGGGAGACTGAGGAAATCCAGGGACAAACTGGCAGGAAGAGGGGCTTGGGTGGCCTTCCCCTGGGCACACTCCCATCTTGAATAGGTGACAGCACAGCCACCATCCCCTCCTGTTCCCAGCCTTGGTCCAGGCCAGTCAGAGTCCTGGGACAGCCTGCTCATTCCTTGCAGCTACAGTAACATCTTCATATAGACTCTCACTATCTGTCCTGGGTGTGGCCTCTCCCAGCGCTGGATGATGTCACAGGCTTATGGGCCAGGCCTGGCTTGTGTCCACTCCTTACCTGATCCTGGGGCCCAGTGATGTGCACTTTGGCCAACTTGGGTCTGACACCCATCCTTGGATCCCACCTACTGCCCAGCCTAGAGGGAGAAGGCAACATTGTGCTGCCTCGAGTGAAACAGTGTGTGTCTACCACGTACATCCATTATCACAGCCACCTGGATAGCACTCACCTCCCATCTCAGCCGTCCTCCCTCTGAGTCTTGAGAGCAGCTGGGCTAGCAGTCTAGGTGGGTGTCACGTGAAATGAATGATGTGCACTGTATGTATCTTGGGGCCTCGTTACAGACATAGGGTGGGATGGAGGGGTCCATTACTTCAAATTGAGTGCCCTCTCTGCACCGGGCTTCATTCTGAACTTTGAAGTCACATCAGCGAGCACCACATGTGGTTCCTGCCTCCTGGACTTCCAGTGGCAGTTGGGGAGGCAGTACCAAATAGGGTGCCTGGAAGTATCTGGGTCTCGGCCTTAACCAGGAGCTGGCTGAGTTGGTGGGCAGGTGGCCACTGTCCATGCAAGATTGGCTCAGGGGCAGGCGCTGTCTAGAGGAGGTGGGACAAGCAGGGAAACAGCTGGGCAGGTGCCTCTGCCCTTGGCACAGAGGCACCCCAGGCTGGCGGCTGTCTGGGTGCGGGAACCCGCTTGGGTGTGAATGTGAGTTGCTGGCGTTTGCGTCTGTGGCAGGCATTCTTGGCGCTGAGTTTAGCAGAACACCAGTCAGCTCTAGCTCCCAGTGCTGCCCACTCAGTGTCCTTGGAGAGGGCCCTGCTCTGCCTTCTGCTCTGGGCTATCATGGCTGCTCTTTTGGGATTTGCCCTGCTTTCTGGTGCTTTCTCAGTGTTTTGAGTCTTGCTTTGTCCCACCTGTCACCTCCTCCAAAGGGAGTGTCCACCTGGACGCCCTCACAGGCAGCCCTTTTAACACAGCAGCCCAGCGTGGAAGTGGGGCCCGGCCCTGACCCTACAGCTCCAGGGTCAGCTGCCTTGAGAGTTTGGACCTGGGGCCATGAGAGAGGGAAACGTGCCTCACTAGGACATTGCCCAGGACCTTTGCCAGACAGGCTTGGTGTGTATAATCTACATGCGATGGTGTGGGAGCAGGGGCTGTGCACCAACTGGCCAGCCGAGGTCAGGCCCCATTGTAACCCGTGGAGCCCACTCCCCCTGGTGCAGGTCCTAGTTCCAGGGCCACAGTTACCAAGACAAAGAGCTGGGATTCCACCTGGGACTGTCTGTAAGAAGAATCCCGGGGGACTCAGCCATACAGGGTGTCCACACCTGAGCATTCAAGGTAACATTCAGCCCAAGCTCAGAACTGGCCTGGCTCCCTGGCAGGGCCAGGGTGAGCTAAGAGGCAGACACAGTGAGATGCTTGGAGCCTGGGGCAGGTGAGGCCCTTGGAAACACAGGTATGTTGATAATGGAACTGAGGCTGAACCTTGGCATCAGGGCCCTTGAACCTGACCCTGAGGGCGAGAACTTTGGCCTGGGAGTCCTGGAGCCATGAATTGGAGTCCTCTCTGGTCCTTGGCTCTCCTTTGAATCCTTGTCCCATTTCTTCCAGCATGGTCTGCAGAACAAAGGCAACAGATACCTCATAAAATGTCCTGATATGATATAGGTGGGGAGGGAGGGGACAGAGCCACATCTGGAAAATTGTCCATTGGCCAAGGAGATGGAAGCTGAAATGAGGATTTAGCAATCACAGCAAGATTTGGGGAAATGTGTTACAGAGTCCAGAGTTCAGATGGGCAATTCTGGTCACTCTGGCCAAGCTGTCTGCAAAGCCTCTCACACCAGGTCAGCACAGCCAATCGGGCTCCGTGACACACATCCCAGGGCTCAGCTTGGAGGACGTGCTCAGGAAATAGTTCCCGACAAGTGAGTGAGTTCTGGAGGCCTGAACAGGTGGGAACTTTTCTTCACAAGAGAGTGAGGTTCAAGGAGAGGGAAGGCACCCCAGGGCAGGAGAGCGGCTGGGATCACCATGCACAACCTGAACTTGGGCCTGTGCCTCACCCTCACTCCCAGAGAAGCTGGTCCCACAGCCTCGGAGCCCAGTGGCCTACGGACTGCCGGTTGCATGGCAGTGTCCCACGCAGGTCGTCTGCCTGGAGCATGGGGGCCCAAGCAGCAAGGCCAAGGTCATCCCTATGCCCTCCCTGCCCAAGTCCAGGACCCGGGACCTTGCCCAAGCAGTTCTGACTATTTCTATGTATGGCTTCTCTGATTCTTTGCCATGGGAGGAGTGAGTGAGAGATTTCAGTTGCAGTAGGACACTAGTTTTGTAATTTCATTGAAGCTTGAAATCACTTCCTTCCTTTACCCTAGTGTTACTTAAGTAGAAAATTGACTTGGAGTGGGGGCTGGGGGGCATATACTTTTGAAAATTAAAAGTAAAAAAGAAACTTTCTTGTTTGTTTCTTTTTACTTATTTGTGGGTTTGTTGTTTTGTTTTGTTTTATTTTGTTTTGTTTTTTGCCTCATCACTAGCAGGAACAAGGCAGCACCGCCTTTAGGGGATCAGGACGCTGGAATGCAGTTTGCTTTTTGGCGACTTTTTCTCCAGACATATGAGTTTTGCTGCCTGTGGGCTGAGCCTTGTATCCACAGTACTGTAGTAGGAGCCTTGGGTCAGGTCATCAGGTGGACTTCAGTGACAGTGCTTTGGAGTTCCCCAGATCAAGCAGGCGATGAGCCTGTGTCTGTTTGCATGGACCATCGCTCTAAGTGCCACATTCCAGCCTGGCAGAGAGGGAAAGAAAGGAAGGCAGGTGAGGAGTCACTGTGACGGGGTCCTGGAGTCGCCCAGAGGGACCTGGGAAACTCTGCTGGCTGTGAAATTCCTCTGCTTTGATTGAGGCAGGTCTGGATTGCTTTAGTTAGTGTTCAGCGTGCCCTGCTGTCATCCCAACCCTTCCTTGGTCTTGAGCGTGAGTCACTGGTGTCCTCACCTTCAAGCTGTCACTTGTCCCAGGTGGGGAAAAGGACACCCCTAGAGTCAGGGGACGTGTCTACACTGATGATGATGACCTTTCCAAAGGAAAGTGGGGTATCAGGACAGAGGCTGCTGGGAGCAGGGGAGGGGTGTATGAGGCTCCCCTTGGGAGTCCACAGTGAACCCTGCAGAAATCAGAGTCATCTTGGGCCAACAAAGGGCAGAGATCGGTCTCTAGCACCTTGGGTAGCTCCTTGGCCTCTGAGCTGTGACTTCCCCAGCTGAAAAATGGTGCTCATAAGAGTAACTTCCACAGAGAACTGTCCTGAGGATAGAATGCAGTCGAAGGCACTAGTTATCACCGCTGCCCTGATGTTCACTTAACCACCTCGGGGACACCATTTGCATGCTCTCATAACCATGGGAGGCAGCCCCAGCAAGCCTGGGGGTGGCTCATCTCTAGGCCAAACACTGATGAGAACAAAACCTGTTTCTGCAGACACAGTGTATGTAGCCGCCCTGCCTGCGTTGTCCTCGGAGATGTGGTCAAGGAAAAGAGGTTTGGTTTGGCAGAGCTGAACAGAGAAGGGGTAGGAGGGGGCAGGGGGCCTGGGACTGAAAGGAGGTTCCAAGAGGGTGGGCGGGCAGGAGGCCCCTCTCACCTGTGGGCTTGTTCCCCCCAGGCTGGTGCACCATGTCGGTCAGCGTCCACGAGACCCGCAAGTCGCGGAGCAGCACCGGGTCCATGAACGTCACCCTCTTCCACAAGGCCTCCCACCCGGACTGCGTGCTGGCCCACCTCAACACGCTGCGCAAGCACTGCATGTTCACCGACGTCACACTCTGGGCGGGCGACCGCGCCTTCCCCTGCCACCGTGCCGTGCTGGCCGCCTCCAGCCGCTACTTTGAGGCCATGTTCAGCCACGGCCTGCGGGAGAGCCGGGACGACACCGTCAACTTCCAGGACAACCTGCACCCCGAGGTGCTGGAGCTGCTGCTGGACTTCGCCTACTCCTCACGCATTGCCATCACCGAGGAGAATGCCGAGTCCCTGCTGGAGGCGGGTGACATGCTACAGTTCCACGATGTGCGGGACGCGGCCGCCGAGTTCCTGGAGAAGAACCTCTTCCCCTCCAACTGCCTGGGCATGATGCTCCTCTCGGATGCCCACCAGTGCCGCCGGCTCTATGAGTTCTCCTGGCGCATGTGCCTGGTGCACTTTGAGACCGTGCGGCAGAGCGAGGACTTCAACAGCCTGTCCAAGGACACGCTGCTGGACCTCATCTCCAGCGATGAGCTGGAGACCGAGGACGAGCGGGTGGTCTTCGAGGCCATCCTCCAGTGGGTGAAGCACGACATCGAGCAGCGGAAGGTCCACCTGCCCGAGCTCCTGCGCAGCGTGCGACTGGCCCTGCTGCCCTCTGACTGCCTGCAGGAGGCTGTCTCTGGTGAGGCCCTCCTCATGGCGGACGAGCGCACCAAGCTCATCCTAGATGAGGCCCTCCGCTGCAAGACCAGGATCCTGCAGAACGACGGGGTGGTCACCAGTCCCTGCGCCCGACCGCGCAAGGCGGGCCACACGCTGCTCATCCTTGGGGGCCAGACCTTCATGTGCGACAAGATCTACCAGGTAGACCACAAGGCCAAGGAGATCATCCCCAAGGCAGACCTGCCTAGCCCCCGCAAAGAGTTTAGCGCCTCGGCAATTGGCTGCAAGGTCTACGTGACAGGGGGCAGGGGCTCCGAGAATGGAGTCTCCAAGGATGTCTGGGTGTACGACACTGTGCACGAGGAGTGGTCCAAGGCGGCACCCATGCTGATCGCTCGCTTTGGCCACGGCTCGGCCGAGCTGGAGAACTGCCTCTATGTGGTGGGGGGGCACACGTCTCTGGCCGGTGTCTTCCCAGCATCGCCATCTGTCTCCCTGAAGCAGGTAGAGAAGTATGACCCTGGGGCCAACAAGTGGACGATGGTGGCCCCATTGAGGGACGGTGTCAGCAATGCTGCAGTGGTGAGCGCCAAGCTGAAGCTCTTTGTTTTCGGGGGGACCAGCATCCACCGGGACATGGTGTCCAAAGTTCAGTGTTATGATCCCTTGGAGAACCGTTGGATGATCAAGGCTGAGTGCCCGCAACCATGGCGCTACACAGCCGCTGCCGTCCTGGGCAGCCAGATCTTCATCATGGGAGGTGACACAGAATTCACAGCTGCCTCAGCCTACCGCTTTGACTGTGAGACCAACCAGTGGACGCGGATCGGGGATATGACTGCCAAGCGCATGTCCTGTCATGCCCTGGCTTCAGGCAACAAGCTCTATGTGGTGGGGGGTTACTTTGGGACCCAGAGGTGTAAGACCCTGGACTGCTATGACCCCACTTCAGACACGTGGAACTGCATCACCACGGTGCCCTACTCCCTCATCCCCACAGCCTTTGTCAGCACCTGGAAGCACCTGCCTGCATGATGCGTACCTGCAGAGTCCAGCCAGGTGAGCCCCCAGCAGTCCATGCCACTCTGGTGGGTGGAGGCCAGGGACGGAACGCACTCCTGCCTGTTCCCACTCTGGGTAAAGGTCACCATGTCTTCCAGGGAAGGCCGTGGTGGGCGCCAGGTGGCTGTTGTGCTCTGGGGTCAACTCCTGGCTCTGCCTCTTACTTGCAGTTGACTGGGAACAAGTCATGCAACCCTTCTGTAAAATGGGGACAATAACCTTAGTTAAACCAGCATTGTAGTTCCCAAACATGGCTACACATCAGAACCACTGGGGATCTCTTGACAGTGCTGTGTGGAGCTCAGTCAACCTGCAGAGTCTGAGGGTACCTTCTCTGTGCAAGCCTACTCTCACTTCTGACACCAGCTGCAAGGCAGGGGGCTTCCCAAACCACCCTCAGTTTGAAAATTCACTAGAAAGATTCACAGAACTCTCTGGAGGTTTTGTGCTCACAGTTACAGTTTGTTACAGGGAAAGGATGCAGATTAAGACCAGCTGAGGGGAAGACATGCCCGGGACATAGTCCAGGCAAGTCGCCCTCTCCCCATGGAGTCAGGACAGTGTTACTCTCCCAGCACTGATGAGTGATCATAAGCATGACGTGTTGCCGATATGGCAGTCTCGTGCAAACTAGAGTTTTTACTGGGCTCTACCATGTAGACATGGATGACTGATTGATTGACGGCTTACGTGGTTACTCTTAGTCTCCAGGCCAGTTGATACAGCATGACTCAAACCCCCACCATAAACCACTTGGTTGTCAGGTGTGGCTACCCCCATCCACAAACAAAGACATAGATCACCTCCCAGAAGCTGAGGGCAAAGACAAGGTCAAATTCCTTACTACACAAATGCAAAGCCTTAGCCATACCCCAGACTTGGCCACACCACAGAGCTATTAAACCAGAACCTCTGTGGTGGCCCCAGCCTCAGTTGGAGTTGCAGTTCCCAGGTGATTTCTGTGCGCAGCCAAATTGAAAGGCACACCCCGGGGTTCCTGTGAGAACCAGTGGGAGGAGAAGTGAATGGAGACCCACAGGGCAGTCAGGCGCTGCGCCCTAGGATGGCGGGGGCGTGGCCAGGGTTGGGACAGACAGCCCTGGGTTGTGTCCTGCCTCACCTGTGTGCTCTCCAGCAAGTGAGAGGACTTCTGTCTCATGTCCTTGTGAGATGTGGAGAAGTCCTTCCTCAACATGGGTGGGTGTCTAGATTTCTGTGAGGTCATCCTCTGGGCCCTCAGAGAGGGTATCAGGAGTTCCTGCTCTATGTTCTTTGTGCCATCGCTATGTGGAATCATGAAAACAGTGAAGGTGACAGCAGACAGAGAAGCCAAGTGACATATTAGGTACTCTGGGGGATGCAGACACCAGGGGGACTTGGGCCAGGCCCCAAGGATGGGTGGAGAGAAGGAATGGGGGTGTTGGGAGAAGTCTCATCTGGTGCTGGTGCAGTCTCCTGAGGGACTGGGCTTGGGATGGGGTCTTCCCTGCAGCTGGTGGGGGCAGAACTGAGGCTGAAAGTGGGAGTTCAAGGCAGCCTGGCAGAGTGCTCGGGTGAGGTAGGGACCAGCGTGGATGCTGGGTTTGCAGGTGCCAGACAAGGGTTTGTGTCCAACACGCCCTCTGCAGTCAGGTCCTGGGAAAGGCCAGGGTGCATGCTGCCAGCCTCGTCCCTTATCCCAACTCCTGCCCTCCCTCTGGGCCCCTCATCCCTGGGTTGCAGCTCTACCTTCAGCACAGGAGACCAGGAGGGAGCCCAGCCTTGTCTCCCTGCCCAGCTGGCACCAGTGGCCATGTCAAGGAGCCTAGCCCCGCCCCGCCCCATCCGCCTCTGAGCTCCTCCAGCTCTGGGGGCCAGCCCTGATCCCTGTGTGCAGGCTTAGTGCCCTGCAGTTCAGGTCACAGGAACCTCATCGGGAGCCCGCCTGAGCCGAAAAATTCATTTCCTCAATGGATCATTGGCTGCTGACACAGATGCTGAAAGCTGTGCCCAGGAAAGCATTCACTGTTAGCTGGGATCACTTCTAAGTGGAAGCTGATATGTCAGCCACTAAATCAGATCCAGCCAGGCCTTTGAATCCCTTAAAGGGACACAGGCAGGTGAAGAATCCAGCAAATACAGGGTGTTTGGGCTCACGAAGGGCAGCCTGAATTGGAACGTGGCTTTGTGCTCTCTTACGCCTCTTCTGTCCTCTTATTTTTTTTAATCTGCTCTTTTTCTCTTTGGGAGAAAAATCTGTCCCCGAAACATCTTGTGCCCTGGAAGTGACTTCCAAGAGGCTACTGCATTTCCTCATTAGCTCCCTGCTGTGACTCTCTAGGTGACTTGGGAACCTGGAGTATTACATGCAGGGAGTGGAGGCTCCTCCCACCTGGGCCAGGTAGGCAGGGGGCACTGGGCCACTGGCTTCAGGGTGCCCTGACATCCCTGGTGTGCCCACCCCCAGGTCAGAGGCTCCTTCCCTCCGTCCCTGCCTGGTGGACTACGGCCGGTCGTCTGAACTAGATAAACCATTTGCTTTCCCAGGAATTGCCCTGATCCCAGGGACCCTGGAAGGGAAGCAGTCATCACCTCTTGGCTCAGACTCTTACTGGCTACTTGACCCTGGACCAGTCACTTAACTCCCCTGAGGCTCAGCCTTCTCTTCTGGAAAGTGGGAGTAGAAATTGTATTAGTCCTAGTAATAGAGATCAAATGAGGTTCAGAATGAGCTTTTATAGGGGCAACAACAAGGAGAGGCTGGAGATGACAGTGGCTCAGGACACGGGGCTACAAGGCCCAGCCCACCCTCTAGAAAGGCTGTCCCTACAGTCATGATTGCTGTTCCTCGGGAAGTTCTTCCCAGGTGCCCAGCTGAGTCCTCCCAGTCTACAGTGGGTGCTGTCATCAGCCCCATGTAGGGAAAAAGAAACAGGCGCACAAGGCTGAGCCAGTCCCAGATATGACTGGAAAGCCACTTCCAGACCCTGGCGTCCCAGAACCGTGTCTAAGGCATTGACAAGCACCTGTGGGCCGCAGGCCTCCCTAGCTCCTGTACTGGGGCCCAGACGGCTTCCAGACTCCCACTGTTGCCCTGCGTTCAAGCTGCTTTCTTCTCATGGGCCCAGCAACCAACCAGAGACCCTTCTCACAACGCCTCCTCGGCCTGAGACCACCCCCTCTCATGGCCTCTGTCCCTTGGGGTGACTCTGGGTTATTCTCATGCTCTGTAAAGCCCTTTCTGTCCAGCTGCTCTTGCCTGGATGGCTCGGAGTCTCTGGGCTCTCTGCAGAAGGGTCCTCAACCAGCAGCAGGGCAGGAAGCTGACACCCAGGGTGTGCCTGGCCCTCCCCACAGTGGCAGGAAGTGGCCCTCAGCTGGGGCTACTCCAGCAGCCACCAGCACTGCCAGAACTGGGCTAGAGGAAAACCCCCAACTCAGACAGACCGGATCAGGGCCTGAGTTGGAGGAGTGGGGTGAGTCCTGGAACCAGATGGACATCAGAACAGCTGAAACATAGCATGTCTGCTGCCTCCCCCGCCCACTCCCTCGATGGGCACCGCACTCTCCACTGCATCTGGCCGCCACCTGGGAATGCCCTGGCCCAGGGCCTCAGCTGACGTGTTGGCCATCTGCATTATCGAATAGCAGTGCCTGGGCCAGAGATGTTCTGTGCCCACCCTGCCTGCCCACATTCTCTTCCCTGTCCCAGCTGTCCAGGCAGCAGGGGCGTCAGGCTGGGGTGCTAGTAGGTTCAGCTCTTGCTGAGCCCCACGAGTATTGCTGACCCTCCTGCCTCTACACCAGGGCTGGCCGTCCCTGTGCCTCCGTCCATTCTGTGAGACTCTGACACAAACTTCGGAAGCTACCAGCCGAAAGTCTCCTGTATGCTGCAGCATCTCCTCCAGACCCCAGATGATGGCCTTTGCCTGTCCCCAGACTTTCCTCCCCTATCCCAACTACCCGTTTGAGCTCTTGGTAGGTGTGAGCTCCCACGCTGAATCCTCTGTCATTCTTATCTCGTCCCCCAGAACTATTTGTCATAGGTCCTGCTATCACAGAGATGCCGCCAAGACTCTGAGAGGGGCGGCAGTTGGCATCAGATGAACAGCCAGTAAGGTCAAGAGCAGGACTCAAGCCCCAGGTGTGCCCCAGGAGCCATAGCATCTTCATATCTGCACCCCCACAGAGCACAGGCCCAGCCAGAGTGGCCACCCAGCAGTGAGGAGTTGTGGACCTAAATACTGGCAAGACCTCCAGGAAAGTCCCTTTTCTCCAGTGTCGCCACTGGATCCGTGTCCCTGGGGGACTGCAGCCAGCGGTGGTGAGGGAGCCCCTGAATCTAAGCATGGATACCAGTCCCCCTGGTTACCTACTAAGGGTGGGCTCACTAGAAATGTTCTTTTTCTCTCCCACTGGGTACCCCTCCCCAGGCCTGTAAGGCTCAGCCCCCCAGCCCTTCTCTCCGCACCCCCCACCCAGCTTACCTCCAGCCTAGGGGGCTGTAGAACACTGGGGTAGACGAACTGGTCTTGTCACAAACTTGTTGAAGCCCAGCCACTTGGGGTATAGGATAGGGGCTCCAGCTGTGCTCTTTAGTCCACTGTGTGGCTTGGTCACTACTGCAGGAAGGACAGTTCAGCACATTCTATCTTGCCTTAGAAGCAGTTGCTTCAGAAAGGAAATCCCAGGGCACAGGACTAAGGATTTTCAACAGCCTCCCTGGTGGGCCCGACTGTGTGTGGCCGGGCCCCAGAGGTCCAGATCTGCCACTTTACAGCATCTCACTTGTGAGGAGTTTGGAGGAATTTGGGGAACCTTCACCGGCCCCACTGAGAAGACAGTGGCCACCAGCCCAGCCCCTGCATCTGGGAACTTGCTGACAGGGCAGGAAAATATCCCATGGATCCCTAGTGCTGGCCTACTTTTTCTTTTTATTATAAAGTTATTTAAATACATTCAAACTGACTGGGCTCAGTGGCTCAGCCTGTAATTCCCAGCACTTTGGGAGG